CTGGCTATAAATATTTTATCACATTTATTGATGACTATACTCGCTACACATGGGTTTATCCAATACGTTCAAGAGAAGTACCAATGATTGTGCAAGATTTTCAACGTATGATTTTCAACCAGTTTCAAATCAAAATACAATCCTTTTAGTCTAACAATGCAAAAGATTATTTTCATAGTGACTTGATAGAATTTTTTACTTCTTGTGGTACTCTTCACCGAAGTTCATGTGCTAGAACCCCCCAACAAAATGGGGTTGCAGAACGGAAGAACCAACATTTGTTGGAAGTTGCTCGGGGCATGTTGTTACACATTAATGTTCTCAAGTGTTTCTAGATGGATGTTGTTTTGTCTGCTGCTTATGGTATCAACCGTATGCCTTCTTGATTGTTAGAGTACAAGACCCCACACCAACTCCTGTTTCCCAAGGCTTTGTTATTTTCTATCCCCATGCATGTCTTTGGATGTGATGTTTTGTTCATGATTTGTCCTCCACCCGTGGTCAGCTTGATGCCAAGGTCGTTCCTTGTGTCTTTCTTGGTTATCCTTCCTCTCAAAAGGGCTTCAAATGCTTTGATCCTATTTCCCATAAGTATTATATCTCTATGGATGTATCCTTTTTTTGAATCTGAACCCTTTTTTCATGTTTCTCCTTAGGGGGAGAATAAGGTTGAGGAGAAACCGACTCAGGTTTTGCTTCCTTCTCTTCCTGATCCTCCTCCTCTCTATGTCTTCCTCCGTCGTCACAAGGATCAGAAAAGTTCAAGAGCCGTGGAACAGCCTGAAACCATGCAACCAATATCATCAGACTCTCTAGGGGTAGATTTACTATGGCCAGGTATTATTATCCCTATTGATACCCCTGATCCTATTACCGTTGACATTTCTATTGCTAGTGATGTTGACCTTCCTATTGCTAAGAGGAAGGGTGTCAGGTCATGTACCACCAATCATCCTATATCATATTACATTTCATATGAAAATATTTATCCCTAAAAGTGTCACAGAGGCTTTATCTATTCCTGAATGGATAGATGCAATGAAGGAAGAGATTGATGCATTACATAAGAATTGTATGTGGGAATTGGTGGATCTTCCAGAAAGAAAAGAACCAATAGGATGTAATGGTTGTTCACAATAAAACTGATCGATTTTACAGTGGTAATTTTTACAGAACCGATCATTTTTAGACCCACAACTGAAACGATCAGCTCTCGAGACAATTATGTCTGCCCAACGGATCCAATTATAATAAGTAAAAATATATATGCTTAATATATTAAATATTATATATAATTGATTTATATATTATACGTATATAGCTCAGGTCGGGTCTAAATTGGTTCGGAACTAGGTGGAACCGGTTCCGAACCAATAATAACCGGGACACTATATCAGGACCCGAAATCAACCCATCGGTTCCAATTTCTGGAACCAGAACCGTCCCAATCTGTTTAGGTTTATCGGGTCGTACCCGACCCATTGACAGCCCTACATGGTGTTGCAGAGATCCTGTGGATAGAGAACCTATTGAAAGAATTGGGTTTTGATGTCAATGGCCCTATGTCACTTTACTACGACAACAAAGCCACCATTAGCATTGCAGCCAATCTAGTCCTACATGATAGAACTAAGCACATTGACATAGATAAACATTTTATTAGAGAAAAGCTTGAAAGTGGGGAAGTGTGTACAGCTTATGTTAGTTCCAAAGACCAACTAGCACATGTACTTACAAAGGGTCTTCACCACTTGAGGTGTAATAAGCTTTGTGACAAGTTGGGCATGATAGATATCTACGTCCCAACTTGAAGGGGAGTGTTGCGTACTTATCTATGTATGGTCCACAGCGGCATTATTGTCTTTTTAATGTTTCGTTTATTAGCTGTACTGTCACCCTAATATATAATCYAATAGAGGTGCCGCCAACACCACTTTGGCCCTCACTCTCTTCTCTCTTCTCTCCCTCTTCTCTTTTTTATCCTTTTTTTTTTATCAATAACCAGAATTTTATTAGTTGATATATAAAAGAACATACAGCAACCAAGGGAAGGGATAAACTCTCTTAACCCTCTTCGCTTCTCTACTTCTCCCTCTCTCTCTCTCTCTTTGACTTCAATAATAATCTTGAAGCATCATTTTTTGACAAGCAACAATATATCATGCATTTATTACTTGAAGCACCAAATTATGAAGATGCTGTCAGGATCTCACAAGGATGATAGCATTGGAAGGAGAATTCAAACTTCATAATGCAAGATCAACCAAAAAGGAAAGGTTGTACTGAACCATTAGTGGTATCAAAAAAATGGAAAGAAGAAAAGTAAGGAAGAGGAAGAAAAGGAAAAAAGAGATGGATAAAGTGTAGAGTCAGTACTTAGCTCCAACCATTAGACTGTCGTCTCACTGACAAAGGAGGGTGAAGATGAAATCTCATCATCATAGAGAACAGGCACACTTCTTAAGCAAAGCAAGCAAATGCAGAATTTTTTCTTGACCTAGTGTTGTGCTTCCAGATCCTTAAACACTCAGAAGCAGACACATGGCAAGGATGGTGGTACGGAGAACAGAGGTCAAGGAAGAGGGAGATAGGTTGGGCAATGAACTGCTCAAGTTTATAATTTTAATTGGTGCAGAGTTGCTTCTGCTACTCTTTGTTTAGGCACTTATTCTCATTGTTGGTTTCAGATTGAATTATTTTCTTGGGTTTAAAGGTAGCTTTTTGGAGTGTTGTCTTTTCCAGGAGATGGTGCCTAGTTTGGGGTGACTGGGCTGTGGTTTGTCTGGGCGATTTCATTGGTGCTTTATCTTTTGAGGACTGATTTGGGAAAGTCCCGTTTTCAATACATTAAGGACATCCCTAGTGAAAAGACAAGATACCTGATGCAGTAAGGAAGAAGAAAAAGAAAGTGCTAGTTTGGGATTTGGAACCTCCTTAGAAAAACTGGGTTTCCAATGCATGGGATCCACAAGGATTCTATGAGTCCCACTGCCACTAGCCTAGACAATCTTTAGAGGGGGTCATAACCAAGAGGTTAATGGTCTTGGGGTATTGGAATGACCAATAGTTTAGAGGGTTCTTAGAATTTTGAAAAATTCAAGTTGTAATTACATTACATTTCTTTTGGCTTTTTTTCAGGGGTCAAAACTTTTCTGTTTTGCACAACTTTAGTGTCATCAGATAGGTTATTGAGTTATCCATACAATGAGACAAATATCGTTATATCTTGTAAACTTGATATTTTGTGAAAGAGTTTTAACTGTTTTATTTATAGAGTGTCTGTCTGTACTGTGATTTTAGTCTCTTTATTTTTTGGGTTTAGTTTGGTTTTACTTGGATATTTTGAGAATTGATACAATACATTACCTATTTCCAACTAAAAAAAGAGCCAACCTTGGATGAAGTTAGAGTCTTTGATGAATAAAATTTTGATTTAGTAAATCCTGGTTGTAGCCAGGTATTTCTCTTCTTCTCTCTTTTTCTCCCCTCTCCCACTTGGTTCTTCCTCTAAGCAAGCTATCTCTGCTCTCTACTCTAACAGAAAGAGTTCTTTTTCTTTCTAATGTTCTGCTTATTCTTTGGTGGACAACAAACTGTCTACCTGCTAAGAACCACAACAAATGCTAATAGTTTGATCCTACTAAGAACTCCACATGGGGATCAAATTGTTTGATGCTAGCCAAGAATATTACGAAGTGTCAATTCCTTTTAAAATCAGCTTCCATTTCTAAGGTGCTGAAATACAAAACTAACAGGAAATTCTTACTATATGTGTTCTTCACATGCTAAAATGAAGAGACCCATACTAGTTCATCATTTTTGCTGTGAGGGCCATCAATCTCTTGCATTTCTGATTCCTTGAAAGAATGACAAGTAGCATAGTAGAACTTCTAGATGACAGGAATAAGAATGTAATTTGTGATCTCCTTTTTGCTTTTTGTAGGACTGTATGGAATAATATGTAGATAAAACTTCCAATTCAAATCAGGATTGACTCTCCAAAGCATTTGAGAAGACCAGATTGACTTAGACTTTGCTGCCACTTCTTTGACTTCTTCAGATGTATTTAGTTGATTAGTCAGTGAGTTCACATCTTTTATAGGGTTGAAAGCCTCTTCAAAGAGTCTTTTGCTGATCACCCTCATTATCTAATTGACAAGAATTAGTTGGACCTCTGAAGTTTTTGAGGAGCTCAATCTTAGTGGCATTCTCAAGCAAAGGTGTAGGCAGAATGAATCTTAATTTACTCAGAAGGTTAGCTTCTCTCAATGGGTTAAAGGGTCTCTAGAGACTCATCCTCAGTTGATTGCACAATGAAAGATAGAGGCACTTTGGGTTAAGTTTGGACTCTGGACCAATGGCAACATAGTTTCAAGACAAGTCAATATCATTAAAGAAATCGAAACAGTGGCCTCTCCGAAGAAAATTTGATTCTCTTGGCTACCAGAGGAGCCAAATGGTGTAGCACAATCTCTTATGAAAGTGTACCTATCAGATTGCATATATAGTAGAGGCTTAATCGTCCTTTGTAATTTTCACCTTTAGTCGCGTCCTTTCTTTCTCTCTTTCCTTTTCCTTGCCTGGACAAGCTCTTTGCATCTCTTTCTTGCTTTATTCAGTAAATTCTCTTCATCATCAATTAATTGGAAGAAGAAAAAGAAAGAAACTGAAATGGGAGTTTGGGGTAGGGGTGGGAACTCTATCGGGTTCAGTCTAGATCATGTGTCTGAATTTCTCCTATGACTTCAATGAATAAGCATTAATTCTATATTCTGTAACAGCAAATTACTTATTAGTGTACACCAGCTGTAAATCTAATATTTCAATCGGAAATTTTCTGTAGATTTCAAATGTATCATGCCCAACTAGGTATTATGGCCAAAAATAGTTGTTAAGGTTCAGAGGTTACGTACGCTATTAAAGGAAGATGTAAAGGAATAAACCTCTGAAAGAGCTTGATTGTGATCTCAATGACAACAGGAAAAAAAAAAAAGTTAAGGCACATGAAAATATCCTACTAACAGAACTTACAGTGTCAATATAGGCATGATGGCACAGAAAACAGAGCAAGCCCGCGATACATATCGAGGAGGAGGCGTCATCCCTTTTGCAATACCATTGCTCCTTACAAGTTCAAAATACTCGCGTGCACCGACGAAAACAGCAGTAGCCAGGGCCACCGTAAAAACCCATCCTCCGGCTAAAACAACACCCCCAACGGAAATTCCAATCCCAAGTCCAAAAACAACCCGTTTTTTCAACTGACTCCCTTTTTGTTGTTGTTGCTCCGGTACCAAACTTTCCATCCTCACTGGATTATGGCCTTTGTCAACTTCCTACAGCATGCCTATCTCAGTAATTCCATTCATTGTACAAGCGGCATACTAAAAGAAAGGAAAATACAAGCCAAAACTATTTGTAACTAATATTAAAAATGAGCAGACAATGGTGAGAAAAGAACAAAGACATAACCCCAGATAAAATCAACACATGTTCGAAGAGAAAAAAGTGAAAATTAGCTAAAAATTCTAAAGAACATCGTAAGGTTCAGCACTCAGAAATACACCTCTCGGACATCTCCTTCGTCGACGTGATTTGGTTCAGCTCTGGCAACGGCAGTAAGTACCCGGCCACGTGCGGTGATACCAAATCTCGGGCGAAGCCGAATGATGCTTCTCGATCCATCAGAAACCACTCCCAATTTCGATTTAGATGAAGGATGAACGAATACTAGGGTTTTCGAGGACGGGCGACATCGGCAAGCGCAAAGCATAGTGGCGGAGAGTGGAATGAAATTGCAGCGGTCGATGTCAATATATGACGCCATTAAATTCATTCTGCTCACGTCTGAAACAATCGCATATTCAATGTTCTAAAGGAGCCCGATGCCGAATTTTAGGAAGGAATGAAAAAAAAAAAAAGACTAGAGAATAGAGATTCCGTGAATTATGTTTTTGTGGAAACTGGAGACTGGAGATAGAGATGCTTGTGTGGCGATCAAAATTGAGAGGTGCCAAACTGTAGATAACCACCGAGACACAGACACAATCCCGCTCGAATCAACAACTATTACGAAGAATTATTGAAAATGAAAAGAAGGAACTACAGGGACCTCGTACTTGGGACTGGGCCACTGAGGTAGTGAGGTTAGCCCCCGGCCCGGTACCAGTTTCATGTGACTGGACCTGTTAATGGGCGGGTGGCCGAAAGGGCTGGTCCGGCCCGGCCCGTTCTAAGTTGGGCTTTAACAAAGTTTTAAGCATGCAGATTCGAGCTCTAAACATTGGGTCCGACTATTTCTGGGCTGGACTCGGGTTTTTTAAATAAGCTCAGACCGATAATATTATATATACAATAAAAATATAACATAAATAATTAATATATTATATATTATATATTAATATTAATAAAATTAATAGAAAAATAAATAATATATATTATAATATATAGAATATTATATAATATATAATATATTATTAATATAATTAATACATTTTAAATACTTATCAAAATTGGGCTTTAGGTTCGGACCCAGGATTCCTTTATACAGAGCCAATCTCAGCCTCAATATCTAAGCCCAATGGTCAAAGTAGCCTCAAGCTCAAACTTGATCATTCTTTATTTATAAATAAACAAAGCCAGCCCGAACCCAGGCTGGCCCATGAAGAGGTCTACATCTGAAACTCAACATCCTATAATCAAGAGTCTCAACACCCAGGCCGGGCTGGATTTTTATATTGGGTTATAATTTATAACAGCATTACAGCATTTTGAGCCGTACAGGCCCAATACTTGCACAGCCTGCTTCTATGGGACCGACGGGACGGCGCATTAGGCTAGAGACCGGCTTCAGTCAGGGTAAATTCATGCCCACACCATTCTAACAGCCTTTTCTAATCTAATATTGGAAACATCTTTCCATGAAATAAAGCATATCAGTATGGAGATATTCTCAATACAAGGTAGGAAAGGCTGCCCGAATAGAGTTTGCCCTGATTGAAGCCGAACTCTCCAGACTAACCCATGTAAGTCAATGAAATTAAATTTTTAAGACTAATTTGGGAGGAATACAAATGCAAATATGTAGAGTGCAAAATGTTATATTTTTGTATTATTTTACATGTATTTGTATAGTACATATTCGCATTTGAACTCTTTCCAAACTCAGCCTAACGTTTAAATCTAGATCTTTATTTAGTATTACAAATATGCATATATTATATACATTATATGTATATTATATTGGTTACATATGTTACATATATTATAATATAGAAAAAAATCTATAATACCAGAAAGGTTTTGACTTTTGACCAATCAGAAGCCTTGTGAATTTTGATGAAAACTCATATGATTGATTACCAATTTTATAATATTGGTTGATTGACGATAAGTTTTTCTGATATTATGTTTTTTATCATCATAATCGAACCCTATATCAAATCCATGTCAAATCAGACTCTATTTAAGATTTATAACATCAGGCCCAATCCAAATCATGGGCAAACTGGGCCCAATGAAAAACTTAGGCCGAAGATTGAATTTTTTTGGGCCGAGCAGGCCATAAACCATGAGAATGAGAAGATATAAATGTCCAAACATTATTTTTGTCACAATACAGTACCTCTTGCAGCTGTGTATTGGAAATATCTCTTCATGTATAAAACATATAAATATGAAAATATTCTTAATAACGGCTCCGAGAGGCTGAAGATGATGTAAGGATAATTTTGCGAGGATCAAAACAAATTCATTACTATTACCCAGTCATACATCAGGAACATTTCCCCGTGAATGACAATATACAGTATGAGAAAAATTTTCCATGTGTGGCTACAAGTCTTGTAGGTGGTTATCTTTTTTTATAATGGTAAATAAAGGAATTAGTGTTTTTTAACGCTTTTTTATTCTGAAAAACCTTACTAGCATGGTCCACGGGCTATAGTCCCATGCTGTGTCAAGCACCTGGAGCTGGGGTCCACCCATATGCTGGCACGACCTGCAGCCCATAAGGGCTTGTGTCAGTATGGCCCATATGCCTAGTATGTGGCACAACACATTGTAACCCCTTCTCTTTGCAATGGCTATTTTAGCTGAATCTAAGATTAAGTTTGTTTTTTATGTAAATGCGAATTGATGTAAAATTCTACCGTTACTTTATATTTGCATGTGTTTGTTTTCGATTTTTCGGTGTAAATATGGATCGCTGTAAAACTCCAATCCTAATCCGTATTTTTACGCAATTGTTTTCATTGTAAGGTTTCGATCAATAACCAATGCAAATGTATATTGGTAAAATCAATGTATTATTTATATCGATTATCACATAAAAAAACTCTAACCGTCTATTCAAATTTTAAACCCATTGATTGAGTTTTTCATCGATGAATTTTCCACCAAAAACAAATGCATCCCAAATGACTTAGGTGTTCCCTATAACTATAAATAGTTAGGGTCTGTTTGGTTTGCAGGAATAGGGGTCTGGAATCGGGCTATTCCGATTCCAACTGTTTGGTTGGGTGGAATTGGAATCTCATCTCATTCCTATTGGAATGGCATTCCCCCATTTGAGGGAATGGCCATTCCCGGCCCCTTCATTGGAAATGAAATCCCATTCCTATTGACTTTAATTCTCATTCCCATTCCTATCTGAATCAAACAGACTATGGAAATGGACTATTCCAACTCCGATTCCGAAAGATTTCGATTCCAATTATGAACCAAATGGACCCTTAGTTTTGRGAGCATTTTTGTATTTAGCCATTMGATGTCCTAAATCTTTTGGTCAAGTGATAGAGAAACTTTAAAAGGGAAAAACTTCATAAAAGGAGATGGAACTTAAATACTTAATAATTGTACAAAGTTTTTAATATTATTATAAATTTTGATGTTCAAATTTGTTTGTAAATTGTAATGTTGGTCATTTGTGATTTTTTTCCAATTCCATTTAAAATTTTTGTTTTTAATCTTGTTACACTCTTTCATTCCAATTCCATTGTATTTTTTTATTCTATTATTCCACATGTACATAATTGTATACATTAGCCAGTGTATACAATTGTGTACATATGAAATAATAAAATTAAAAAAATACAATGTACCAAAATAGGGCAAATTTCTTAAATTACTCCTAAGGTTTAGGAAATTGACTAACTATACCCCAAATGTTTCAGTATTATCTTAAAGTACCCATATTGTTTTTTAACAATTGATGCACATTTCCCTTCCCGTTAAGTCTCCATCTCAGACCATTTATATGTGACTTCATGTATTTGATTCAATCTTAAATTATACCCAAAATACCTTTCCAGCAAAGATCACCGTTCATCCTCATCCTCTCCAACCTCTCTCACTCTCTCTCTCTCTAAAGAGGGCAGGATGAACTTTGTTGTTGCTTCATCATTTTGATAGCACAAGACACGCAAGAGACCAATTGGACTCCATTGACTTGAAGTTGGTGGTAGTGGGAGCCTGGATTTGGCAGAAGAGACATATGTTTTCAGTGCCACACGTTTGAAGCACTCAATGAAGCTCTCTGTTTGGCATTGTTGYCGTTTCCTGGTGCCACGGCACCAATTCAATGCCACATATGAAAAACGGTGTTCTAGGAAAGGGCCATCTGTTTGGAACCATTTTTTCTATAGAAAATGGTGCTCTAAGCCACGCCTTGAAAATTAGAAATGCATGGCTTGGAGCAATGCCAAATTTGGCATTTCCTGGAACTACAACTCGTTATTGTCAATGGGGCAGTGATATAGTGATATGGCACTGGATAATGGGTAAAAGTGCAAAAAACGTTTACCGGAGCATTGGTACCAAATAGAAAAAGTTGTTGTTGCTTTAGGAAACGTTCTACCTGGCAGCAACGATTCAAAACAAAAAAAAAGGAGAAAACGGTGCTTCCAACCCACACATCAGCAGCACGGATGTCAGAAAACGATGCTGCAGTTGCAGTATCGATGCCAAACATATACCAAATTATCTGGTAACCTATCCCCCTTGGACCAAAACAAATCTCTAAGAGCTTTGAAATCATCCTCAATTATTTGGGGATCTCTCAAGGAAAATGCATGAGAAGTGCCTCCTGCAAGAAGCACCAACAAGACAAGAAACCCTCAAATGAAGCTTTCGTTATTTCAGTAATCACACGGGTGTGAACCCTGTTATGAACTCTTTTTTGCTATGATCTCTAAGTTCTGCTCAAGTTCCTGAAGTAGAGGTTCAATCCTTGAGGATGCTAGTTCCCCAACATTAAATCAGGAAGCAATGCGGGATGCATTGGTATTGGCAGCYGAAGGAATTAATGCAAATAAAGTCTCATATGTAACTCGTAGGATTTCAATGGTAGATGGAGCAAATCTCTTCTTATTTTCCCTTGGGTTCCAGACCTACAAAGATGTTTTTAGGATCCCTTTGGTTTGGGTTGGAGTGAGATTTGATGGTATTTTGATTGCAAAATAATTCACATCATCGTCATCAACAACAAATGTAGAAAGCAGTAGCATACACAACAACAATAATAGGTATGTTTCATTGAATTCCACAGATGGGTTCTGATGTAACCGTTTCTGGTCACGTATCATTTTTTTTTTGGCTAAGTACCTCATCATCCCGTCTGCTCTCAAGTGATCGATGACTCAGAGGCTGAAGCGGAGCTCCCTAGTGTAGTGCAACCCGGCTGCTCCCCGTAGGAGATGATCTGCTCATCTTTGTGGATGGCGGGAACTGAGGAACCCATCCTCCCTGCAGGAGACGATCTACTCATCTTTGTAGACGGCGGACCTAATTGATCTGCAAGAACTGAATCAGAGAACCTGGGGGTGTTTACCCGGCGAGGTCACTCCAATGGCTAAGTCAACACTTAATAGCGAGCTGAAAATGATATTTAGAGAATGGGAGAGCTGAGAGCAGAGATTACGCATCATTTTCCATCCGTTCGCCCTTGGGGGTGAGGCCTTTATATACTGGAGTCCTCGTGGGTTTGGTGGAGCAGTTCCTGGATTCCCGTTGTGATGGGACCTGTTTTCGTGTT